TGGTTTTGCAAAAGGACCACGGGGAGGCCAAGCCCCTTCTTCGGGTAATGCCGGGGTTTGCCTAAAATGAGGGGAATAAAGCGAATTACCGGCACAGTTCCGGGGGTCTGCGAGAGGTGCCCTGTCCTTCCGCAAAGCCAGCCTGAATGGCTTGGAAGGGCTCGGGGAGGTTTAGCTGCATGAGCCTGGTGAGGCGTTTGCAGCATCAGGTCCTCACGATGCTTGGGGCTGAGTCAGCTTCAGAGTGTTTGGAAGGGGGCGCTGTGGCAGCTTGAACCCCCCTGGAGGGGGGTGCCTCTGGGCTGGCAGGCCAGGAGAGGCAGAGCCAGGGTCTGAGAGAGGGAGCAGGCTTGGGACCCCTCAGCAGTCAGCGACCCACCCCATGGAAAGGGGAAGCCGAGGCACGCGGGCATAAGAACCTAAGCAAGAAGCAGCTGGTGTGGAATTCACGCAGCCAGGCAAAGAGATCCACATCCCAGTGGCTCGGATTCATGCGAGTGGGTTCTGGGGAGTGAATCCATGCAACCACATTCCCTGTCATTTTCCCTCTTGGAAGGAACCCCCGGTGGCTTGGCTTCCAAGATGAACCCCCTCTTCACGTAATCTTCACAACAACCCTGTGAGGTAGGTTGGGCTGAGCACCTGTGCCTGGCCAGAGTCAGCCAAAGAGCTTCCAGCTGAAGGGGAGACTAGAACCCAGAGCTCCTGAGTCCCAGTCCAACCACTGTGCCATACTGGTGGCAGCGGCAGCGGCTGCAGCTGCCGCTAGTGAAGGCAATGCTCAAGCCCAGGCAGAAAGGAGTGTTGGATCGTGGCAGCACGTTCTGAGGGCATCCAAAATGTACCCTTTTGCATGTTGCAGCAACACCAGCACTGCAAGAATGATTCACACCCGTGCATGCCTGTGAAGCTGTTCTCTGTTTGTTTTGGCAAAACCTGCTTTACATGGAAAAAGAAACCGAATCGAGAGTTTAATGTGAGGGGCAGGGAAAGAATTGTGGAGCCTGTGGGAGCACTTCTTTGGATCCCTGTCCCTCCGGTCCATCGCACAGAGGGTGAAGTGACTTTAAGAGCATGAGAGCAAAACCATGAGGCTGGTCCACACCGCAGCACACAGTGGCGATGCACTGAGAGCAGCACAACCCCTGGCACAACACTGCGTTAGATTCCCGGAGAAGTGATCGAATCGAAAGCGAAGAGCTGTTCCCTTCTGCTCCATACCCAAGTTCTGCACTTCACAAGACTTTAAATAAAGGACCATGAGTACAAATTCTTGCAAAAAGCCCCATCATCTGATCTTTTAGCAGATCCTTCAAACTAAGGGTTTCATTAACTCACCTTTCCACCCTTTGTACACTAAATGTTGCCCATCGACATCTCTTGGCCTTGCGTTTCACAGAGACCCACAGACAAATTCACATGAACCACAAGGCATGCAGACAGACACATGCGATTTAGTATCGAAGGACCCCCTTGGAGACCTGGGCTAGTCCACCAGAGACAGAAAACAGTCTATCGTAGTCCCACCTTCTGGGAAAGGTGAAGGTGGGCATGGAGTCTGGGGGATGCTGGCTCGGGACAGCTCTGAGGGGGGTGCTTCATGAGGAGCATTCCCCTCTTCCTTCACCTCCCCTGCCCCTTAGGGTCACCACCCCTCTTGATCTGGGCCAGCTCCTCACTTCAACAACCGAATGGCCAGCTGGCACCTCATGGCCCTCTCCATGCTTGGAATGGTTCTGTTCCCCCCAACTGCCAGTTCAGATGGATGAGAATCTCATTTCAGCTCATCTTCCTCAGAATTTGCCCAAATGCACAAAGTTCATAATTAGAAAAGAGAGAACTTGAGTTTTTAAACCCCAAATCTGGGAGGAAGCCAAAGTGATTCATCCACCCTTAATTCCTATGCTGTCTTCCCATCTTAGTTCCACACAACACTTTGGAACAGGCGCTTTCCTCAGAACCCGAGCGGATGGGTGCAGACCTGCCCTCTAACTGGTCCAAATCCAGCCCAGCCATGGCAGAACCACCTTGTCTCTCTGCATAAGGCGTCACATGTGGTTTCCCAGCATGCCTCCTCCTTTTCTCCTGAGATGGCACCATTTAAGGTTTGTGTAGCAAAAACAGCACTTCTAATGTGATGCAGCAGTCCTTGGAGGGAAGTGCCGTGAAGGATGCTTAAAAAGGAACTTGGAGTGCCAGTTGGTTTGCATTTCCCACAGTTCTGCGTCCAGTGGGAAGACTTCCCGGACAGAACACAGAGTAATGTTTAATCTCTCTCCCATTTTCTGTGCTACACGAATGACATTCACAAGTGGCACATTTCAGGTCTAAGCATTTCCGTGATCTCATGGCAGTGTGTGTCGCCGTTGAAGTCCGCTTTTGTTCGCTGAGGGGCCAAAATGAACAATGCCGGCTCTGTTCCGTGAAGTGCGGAATGAATGCTCGCCTGGAGCTTCCCTTTGATTCATGTCATGCCATTCTTCTCCGTGTCATATTGCCCCGTTTTATTTCCTCTGATGAGGAGCGGGGCCCGTTGAAAGAACCCGACACTGGTAAAGCGGGCGGTTTCCGCTCTGTGTCGCCTCATGATCCAGGGAAAAGCGGGTGTTGCAGGACTGTGCAAAGCTTCTTCGCCCCTTTGCAGCATTTCTGTCTCCAAAAGTGGCAAGACAAACCCATCTAGTGGAGATCAGGGGAAAGAACTGTTTGACTGTTGGGTATGGAGACTACTTATTACACTTTTATTAGAATTAGACTCTATTATTTCTTCTGTATTGAAAACTTTTCGGAAGGTAAATGCTGTGCCAGGGAGCTAGGAAGCGTGGCTCCCGGAAGGAGTGCACCCGCGTTTTTTCTGCGTCGTGTCCCTCAGTGCAAAGTTACAAGATCGTGTTGGTGTCGCTCGCAGGAGCACTGAATTGCTGCCCCGCTTGGAAAGCACTCGGTTGGAGATGCGCTTCCACCTCGCCTGCTTCTCAGAAGTAGCCACAATCGGTCGTGTGCCCGGCGGCCATCTTGCGTTATCGTGAATCTAGTTAGATGCCCACCACCGCCTGATGCCTCACCAAATGTTGCCCCCCCGCCTTTCGATGGGTTTCACCCCGTGACGCCACCAAATATTCTGCTGTCGGGCGTTTGGATTAGCCCTACAATGCGTTGCATTTCCGATGGAAGGCACAAGGAGAAGGGGGCGGCAGAGGCTGAGGCCGAGGGGGCTGGATGGGGTCCCTGGGCCGGTGGGGGTGGGCTTGGGTGGACTCCGGGGGATGGTGGAGGGCAGGGGGCCCTGGAGAAATGTTGTCTGGGGTCACAAAGAGTCAGGCGTGACTTTGTGACTGTACAACAACAACGTTGCATTTGCTTTTACTTCAAGGCCATTTTTTAGGTCTTCATTGATAAATATTTGTGGGAAATGTTACAAAGCAACATGAACAAAAAATAGAGCATTTTACTGAAAGTTAACCAAATAAGCCTCCAAGCTTTCCCAGACAGAGTGCGGCCCCTTTCACTGGAGATTCTGGGCCCCCACCTTGCAGTTGCCCACCTTGCGAGGGAAGGCTGAGGGGCCTGGGGCGAAGGAGTGGCAGTGAGGAGAGACCCCGCTGCTGCTCCGTCTCGTCTCCCAGCACGGGCGGTGCAGCTGCACGGCCTGGCCAAACGTTTCCGGGCTGAGCCTCCTTCCGCGGGATCTCAGGGGAAAGTCAAGCTGAGCAGGCAGATCCGAGCTTGGGACAGGTGATTTCCTGCTCCGAGCCAGCCAAATCCCAAACGCGGCGCAGGCTGCTTTGGAAGGATTTCAGATCAAACGGGGCAGGCAAAGCCGATCAGTCCAAATCTTCCTGAAGCTTCGTCTGACAATTCAGATCGGTGGAACCCAGATGCCGGATCTACGCAGCAAAGCCACAGCGGTTCTCCTCTAGTGCCCTGTTACAAGGCACTTCCCACAGCTCAGATTTCCAGTCCCAGGGGCTGAATTTCTCTCCAGCCTCAGTGCTTTGGGAAGGCATTTGGCGGTAACATATTGCAGGCCTGTTTCAAATTTTGCTCGGCTGCCTCTCTCCCCCAGGAGCAGGAATCTTCAAGGTGTTTTTGCCCAGTTCGTGGGTCATGGGAAAATAAAACATTGTATGTTTACATGGAATAAGTGCTTTTGCTGCCTTTGCTGAGTGCTCTGCTTGTCACCCACGCAAGTCCGGTTGCCTCCTGTGACGTCAGTGCTAAAGGGTCAGGCTTCCCACCCACATGAAAAAGCCTCATTCTGTTTTTCATTCATTGTAGTCCCCTCGACCCTGCACCTATCCTTCTGAAATTTTGCAGGTGTCTTGCCTAGGGCATTTGCCTCTTCCAAACTTTGAAGATTTATTTTCCACAGAAATGGTGCACTTATCTTTCCAAAACATTGCAGCCTAAAGCTGCCTCTTTGTGCTGAAAGCTGTTCTGTTAGGAATAGACCCCAAAGAATGCAATTCTGTTTGGAAACACTCACAGTATAAAGGGCACTGTTGCCCATGCACCAACTCATCCAAAATTTGGCAGGCTTGGTAACTTCAGAAGGGAAAACTATGCCTGCAAATTCCATCCCATTCTGCCAAGAAATAGGAAACTTATTGGCAGTTTCTTTTTTTTTAATAAAACCAGCCTTTAAAGCATAATATCCTCTGCACTTATTTGACCTTTGGAAACTTATATCCCTTCACAAAGGGCTGCTATGACTGGAAAAGGCATCTCGCTTCGTTAAACCGTAACAATGCTACAGCCATTGTTCATCTCCAGGGATAGTCAATGAGTGGCTTTGGATTTCCAGAGGATTCAGATTTGGCTCCCGAATCAAAATAGGCAACCTCTGAATCAGCCCAAGGTGAAGCAGGCAGCCTTCTGAACCCCCAGCTCTTTCCTCTGGTGCACATCTTCTGTAGAGTTCGTCTCCTTCTCCCCAGCTTTCTCTCCTCTCCTGCTTGCAGCACAGCTGTGCTTTCAAGGCCTTATTTCAAGCCTTGTTGATAAGCAATGCTTGGAAATTCCCAGGGCCCAACAGCTGGAGCCGTTTCCACAGTTGATCTCATGAGAGTCCAGACTCTGTTCTCCAACTGTGTTGCATTTCCTGGATGGGCGCCTGGGAAGGGTTCTGTGCCGTAATCTTACCTTTGCAGAACAGGAGCAAATGTTTAGCACAATAGGAGGCTGCAAGAGCCGCTCTCCTTCCAGTGCTAGTGTTTTACCTTCCTTTGCTTGTTTCTAGGCTGACCTTTGCATTATGCCTGGCTCAACTCTGGTGAGCCCAGCTTAAAACCAAGCTCTTAGCTTAAAACCAAGCTCTTAGTTCATGACAGTGGATTTCTCTAGAAACCTCTGAATTACTAAATTGCATCTAGAAAGGAAAGACAGCTTCCTCCTTAAAAAGAAGTGAGCTTTTTTATTTTCATTTTCAATTTTTTTGCTGGCATTCAGTGGATTGGTGGCGGCACTCTTCTGTGTGAAGAGATGTGTGGGACGCTCTCATGGAAAAAAGAGCTGTAATTTTAGATGTTTGGATTCTTGTTCCAAGGGGAGAAAAAAAGCCTGAAGATGTACTTATGTGGCAAATTTAAAAAGTGGTGTGCAACTGAGAAAGGCAGCCTCAAACCACCAAAAACGCAAGTCCAGCAGAACGCGGAATTGCAACAGCAAAGCCCAGGCAGCTGCGAATGAGGGTTGCTAGCAACTGCCCGGAGCGCTCAGGCTTAATCTTTGGCATTTAAAAAATATGCATAACTTCCATAAGCCATGGAAAAAAGATCCCATGTTTTTAAGTGCTGTTTCTTATTCTCAGTTGCTTTGCAGCACAGGGAAAAAATGTGGAACCGTCTCTAGCGCGAGTGGATCCGCGTGCCAGATCTCATTGCTGGCCTGCATTTTCCAGCACCCCGTATCCTGCTGGATGAAAACCAGCTGTCTTGGGGCAGGGAGGAATCGGTCCCACACTTCCTGCCCCGTGATGACGAGCGCAATTGGTAGCTCTCTCACTTGCTTCAGCTATCCTAGTTTATGACGATTAAAAATACGTGCAGGGATTTCACACTCTGTAAAGTGGCAGGAGAAAACCTCAAATGGAGAAGCCCCCCCACCCCATGTTTCCACTGAACCAAATGGATGGTTGTTAAGAAGCTCATTATGCAGGGACCGGATGGGGGAAGGAGAGCCAGTAAGACCTGTGCTGGGATGGGGAGCTGGGTAATTTTGGGGGGGGGGTGGCCCCAGAAAACTGGTGGAGAAACACTCTGTTCTCTGTGCCTGCGTGGAAGACTGGGAGGAACGGGGGCAGCCATGTGCCTGGCCAGGTGTAGGATCACCTGTCGGGGAAATGCGGCAAGTTATCACCCTTCGTGGCAGCCCTCATCCCTGTTTGTTGTGAAAGCCCAACGCAGACAGTGGGTTGTCCTCTCGGGATATTTATTCACATACTTCTTTAAAACATTTGTATGCCAGCCTATTGAGCATCTCTGGGCGGCTCACAACACAATATAAAAACACAACAAAGCATAATAAAAACTATAACAGTTTACATTAAAAACAATAAAATACAGTAAAACATACAAAACAAAGGTCTATGGCCATTAGTTATTAAAATGTTTTTTAAAAAGGAAGGGGAAAAGGGATGCTGCTGTCGTTTGCATAGTCCCTCCGAATCGGGACAGCAAACCGTGGCTTGATCTTGCAGTTGCTTCGCTTGTTAACCTGTGCAAAGAACTTAGCAAGTTCACGTTTGCATCAGATAACGGAGATACATGCCATGTATGGATGAATCAGAGAGTAGATTTCGTAATATTGCAGCACTGGCCAAACGGGCTCGTTTTATTGCGTTATAAGAAGGAAAATGAGATTGTTCTTGTTTTGCTTTTCACTATCTGTGAACTCACGTATTGATAAATATGGAGTATGTGTTTGATGTGATCTCACGTAAATGTTGAAAAACAACATTTAAATCAAACATGGTTTTAAAAAGAGACTGCTGCTTGGACCAGAGTGTTGTGAACAGGTCAGTTGCAGTGCAATGCACCTGTCTTCTCTTTTGCTTCCTGAGAGGACAGTCCTCTATTTGATAGGCTGCTGCAAGGCCACCCTACCTGAAGCACCATCCTGTACTTAAACCAAGATGAGAGCAGTCACCCAGCAAAGCACGTGGCTCACCTTGTCACAGTCTCCACATGCCAAAGCAACGGACTGGCTGTCTGCTCAGTCCTTCAATCTCAAGGATTCTTTCTAAATTTGCATCCGTACCTGAGCGCTGGCATGCGTCTGTTCTGTGCAAATCAGCTCCTCTGGGGCTGCACATTTCTTTTTTGCTGGCGATTCGTAAGTGGCCACCTCAGAAATGGTATGAACATTCAAAAAGTACTATAAAAAATAGCAGGTGTTGTCATGTTTGACCAACAGCTCCAGCATCAATCTTGCTGGAACCCCCCTCTTCTTCCAAGGTGGCAGCTGACCAGATGACATGGCTGAGCATCCAGGGAATCTGTCTCAGAACTGTGCTGAAGTGTGGCTGTGATTCGTTGCTTGGGTTGCTTCGGTCGCATCACATTACAAGTCCGGCGCAGTCATTGCAGAATGCCGGGAACCAGTCCCAAGGGTCTACCTGGAACGTAAATTTCTGGCACGCGCCTTTCAAGCCAATGCACCAAATTGTGACGCTTCCCCTCCCAACCCCCAACAAATGTGAAAGGCATTTTCAGCAGCCCATCAGTGGCAGACTTGATGAGCTATGCAGCTGTTCAGATGAACCAAATCTAATAAAGCATCAACAACAGAAAAGTTCCTATAATTAAACCCATATTCCCTGGAATTGTTATTTTTTCCAGATCAGGAAGTGTCCTGCACCACTGGAGTGAAATCTATTACTTTGTGGAACATCTGGCCCACAAATTTATAAGGTAAGACATTCTGACTGGTTGATAGTGGAAGCAGAGGAAGAGAGATTGATTTCAATGGGCTGAACTGCACTTGGCTATTACGGTGTAATGCTGTGCATATTTACTCCAAGGTAAATTCCATAATGTTCTGTGGAGCTTACTCCCAGGTAAGCCAGTCCTTTTGTTTTATATGTGGTTTTGAGTAACATAGAATCAGGTTGATTAGGGTCTTCATTTCTCATGATGAACCAGACCAGCTTAAGAATCAAGCGCATTTCGGCCTCCTTGGTTTAATTTGAGTTCCTGTACTTCTGATTCTCAGCAACATCATGACTAAGAAGAATGTATCAAGCATTTTCTCAGTATTATTAGAAAAGGGACAAATTTGCCTTGAGCTTGTTTTGATGCTTTTTGATAGGAAGGGAACACGAATTCCCAGGAATTCCTGGGAGTCCAAAGCAGCTGCTCCCATTCTCTCTCCCGCCCCGCTGCCCAATGGTCTCCAAGAACAAGGAATCCAGGGAGCTTTGGTAGTGGGATTTGACTCTGCTTTCATTGGGTGCATCTTGTTTCTACTGTTCTAGCGACCTTACAGGGAACCAAGGTTTAGGGTGGGTGCCAGGAAGCACTTCCTGACAGTTAGGACCCCCAGGGTATGGAATGGGCCTCCACGGGAGGTGGTTGAGGCCCCATCGGTGCGGGTGTTCGAAGATAGGCTGGACATGCACACGGTAGGCATGTCGTGAGCAGAGCCAGCTGGAGCCGGGGGTCAGACTAGATGGCCCGGGAGACCCCTCCTGACTCGCTCTGTTTCTGTATTTCCCACCCAGCACCATTTGAATGGCAATTTAGTTGCCATGCCTGTTTGAAGTCCTGCAAATTTGCGCAAGTACAGCCTCCGTATCTCACCTCCTGGAGCTTCCCGGGTAGAAGGAATTGCCATGAAATCAATTTAAATCAGCTGCATAGATATGCTTCCAGGTGTCAATACAATTTCTGCTGCTTTACATTTTTAGAAATTCTGCATTGACTTTGATGACGTTTATACAGCGTGTTATTGTTTCCGTGGGTTGATGGACGCCCACTCAGGCAGTGCTGTCTTTGGGGCAGTACAGAAATGAAAATAGAACTGACAGTACAACTGCTAATGCTGTACCTGATGGGAAGCCAGGAGGGATGGGCCAGGCAGAACGTCCTGGCCCAGGGAGATGCTTCAAGCTGCAGTCCTGAGTCCCCACATGTGGGAAAGCTGCACACGGAAGAAGAGGTTTCTGTCTGTAGCCCTGGCAATTTCGGGTGCGGTCCTTGTGCAGGCCAACAAAAGTCCCCTGAGGCTGCCCTCTGATACGCACCGCCTGGGAGCGAGCCCCATCCTGTCTCTAGGTGGGAATGGATGCGAATGTGGCACGGAGGGCAGCTGCTCATAGCGGAATAGTCTTGGTGCCTTTGCTGGAACCGTAGGAACAAAGCCGGTGTGTCCTTTCCAGCATTCCAGTGTTGCTGGAGCTTTGGTGGGACATCTAAGAGAGGAATGGTGTTTTGGTGCGGAGTTTTTGCACTCAAGTACCGATGCCTCGAGCCCCCAGTTTTCTGGGTGACAGTTTCCAGCATCCCTCACCGTTGGCTGCGGCTGGCTGTGGATGATGAGATCTGTAGCCTGGCACATCTGAAAGGTGCAAGGCTGGGCTACTATCTTTGACCCAACGGGTCTGGGGATTTTCTGGCTGCAGGTGCCATGGGCAATTTCTCTCCCCATGGCAGCCAAACTGGGACCCCGGGAAGTGCGTTCGCATCTTCCAAAAGAGGCATCAGGAAGAGCCTCCCTGCCTGCCTCTAGGGAAAGGGGGCGAAAGGGCAAGGCCTGGCGGCAGGACGAGGAGCAAGGGAACGTGCCTGCTGCTCCCTGGGGGCCGTCAAGGGTGGGCCCATCGCAAACGGAACCTTGTCACGAGAACGTCCCGGTATCTTCCCACCGTGGAATCAGGCAGTTTGCATGTTCAGCTTCCACAAGCAGAGGCAATGCACACACCTGTGTGAACTGGGTCATGGGTCGTAACTCCTGGGCTCCTCTTTCTGCAGCCCCCAGCTGAGGATGTCCTTCATTGTTTTCTCGACGAGAGGCTCCACCCTTATGCCGCTCACGGAGGACAGGTAAGGGGGCCTGGAATGAACGTGGGGTGCGGAGACCGTGGGGTGGCTGGCCTGAGCTGGGCGTTCTCCAGAGGTGTTGGGCTGCATCCGAGGGATTCTGGAGTCGCCGTCCAGCACCTCTGGAAGGCGTGGGGCTGGGGACGGCTGCCTCAAGCACTTTGGCATGGAAGGTTGCTTTTGAAACAATAAGCCAACCAGGAGAGGTACATCGGTGAGAACGGGTATTATCCCAAAAGCCCAATGGCACACGCAACAAGCACGCAATCTTCAAGCAATAGAGGACAGCAAAATCTGGGTCATCAGTGCAAGTTTTATCATATATTTAGGAAGCACATTTGCAATAACAGTTTGTTGAATTGCAAGTGCAAACACCACAATACTTTGATGTGAGACGTGTGTGTTTGTGTCTTTCTATAGAAATACTTCCTTTCTATAGAAACCTTTTGATCAACCCTTTTCATGCTAGGCCACTGAAGACGGCCAAACGCATTTGGTTATTTCTGGTGCTGAATGATCCAACTGCACAATTTGGCTTCGGTTACCTGATGCAGGTGGCACAGTGGTTTAACCCGCTGTGCTGCTGGGCTGGTAGAGCGAAAGGTCGCTGGTTCGAGTCTGCACAACGGGGTGAGTTCCCGTTGCTCCGTCCCAGCTCCTGCCAGCCTTGCAGTTCGAAAGCAGGCAAATGCAAGTAGAAGAAAAGGAACCACCTCGGTGGGCTGGTAACAGCGTTCCGGGCACCTCGGTGTTTAGCCATGCCGGCCACACGACCACGGAGACCGTCTGCGGACAAACGCCGGCTCCCTCGGCCAGGAAGTGGAGATGAGCAGCGCCCCCTGGAGTCAGGCACGACTGGATGTAACGTCAAGGGGAAACCTTTGTCTTTACCTTTACCTGATGACTAAATGCTTGTAGCTGTTCTGTGGCAAGACATGCTGTTGGGCTTTTTGGATAGAATTCATCTTCACCCGTTTACTGATCCCGATCGCTTAATTGCTTCTTGGCTTGGGGATGATTTCTCATTCAGTCTGCAAAGTTGCCTGTGCACAGGTGTGTGTGTGGGGGTTGCAGTCCACACAATGGGATCCAGACAGAAAGGCTTTGGAAGGCCAAGAGCGAGGGCGACTGTTTCCCCCATGTCAGACGGTTTGCCACCCCCGTCCCCGTCCCCGTCCCCGCTTCGGGGCCGCGCTCCCTTGATGGCTCCGCTTCCAGTGGTGGCCCAGGTGTGTCCCTGGCTGTTCTGATGAATGGTCAGGCTTGGAGGGCCTTGGCCATTTTCACTGGCACAATCCCAGAAGGCCGCGGGGGGAGCACCAGCCTGGCTTTCCTTTTGGCCCCCCTTTTGCTTGCTTGTCTTGTGCCTGTGTTGTGCTTTAATTGCAGTTCATAGCTGCTGACCTTTGTGGATATTTTGTGAGTGGCGGGTTAGCATTGGCTCGCGTTGAGGTTTGTGGGAAGGTGGTATAAAAGGTTTGACGGCGTGCTCAAGGGGAGTGAGGGCAAGGGTGCCGCCCGGGCGGGTGTCCTCCTTGTCCTCCCGGGCTTCCTGCCTTTGGTGCCTCCTTGGGCCCCTCGGCTGCTTGCCTTGTTTCTGCCCCCCGCCATTGAGTTGCTTTGTTTTTATTCGGTGGCTGTTTCAATCTGCCTTGGATTCCACATCGCTCAAGCATATTCATATATTTGAGGGTAGTTATACATAATTGTGTTGCTATTATGCTTACATGCTCCTAGCCATACTGGTCAGGAATCCCTCGCCGCTCAAACTGGCTCAGCCTTCCTGCCATTGTCTTTGAGATGGAAGAGCTCAACTAACGAAGAATAATGAAATCCTGTGCAGATGTCTGGGGAATCTCCCATTCCTGGAGAGTAAACAATAGCTTTGTGCTAATTGTGAAATCAAGGGAAGGGAACTTGTTGACACGCTTTTGCAGTGGACTTGCTACTTATGGTGCTGGTTTAAACGGCACCCGAGTTCCCATGGAGAGAAGAGCGTATTTGCGGCACCACTCTGCTGCTCCCAAAGGTGTTGTCTGGCCCGCCACGCCGTCCGAGCTCCCTTTGGCTCTGCCCGGACCGTTTGCACAGCTGACGGAAAACACACCCGAGCCCACCCTGCACTGCCTGTTTTTAATCTGCCTGCGTGCCTGGGTTTTTATTCAAAGATTAAACTGGATACCCCGGACTCTTCAAAGTCTCTCCTGTGAACTCATAAATGTTGACACGGGTGCAGATGGAAGACGAGGGTTGGGAACATCCGCATAATTTGCAGAACGAGCACGAAGCTGTCCTGCCACCCGGCTCAGGTGCTTGCGGTGATGCTCAGCTCGTATCATTTGTTACTGATAGCGAGCAGGGTGGGCCGGAGGTGTTTCTCAGTGCTGAATCAGGGGGAGCATGTTTAGGGAAGCACATTGGCCTAAAATATGGTTGGAGTCAGAGTTCTCCTTTTTCTATGTCTTGTTGGCCCACTGGCCCCTTCCAACTCCATTATTCCATGATCCTATGCTAGGCGTCCATCCAGGATGACTTACCTATTTTGCTACATAGAATCATCGAATCGTAGAAGAGTAGAGTTGGAAGGGGCCAGAAGGCCATCGGTTCCACCCACTGCTCCTGCAGGACACCACGTCGCAAGCTCCCACTCGGGTGCCTGCCCAGTTTCCTTTTGAATGTCCCCAGTGTGGGGGAGCCCCCACCTCTCCGGGCAGCCGGTCCCACTGCCGTGTTGCTCTGGCAGTGAGGCAGCTTTTCCGGATGCCCAGCCTGAATCTGGGTTGTTCCAACATGAATGGATTATTTCATGTACACACACTTAAATTCTGAGTAGTGTGAAAACATGGAATGGAGCTGATGGAATTAAATACTCCTATTAATCACAAGTAAAAGAATGTCAAGGGTTTAGCAGGTGGTCTTGAGCCCAACGCGCATAGAAATGGTTGGCTAAATATGGCACCCAAAGTGATCACCCAGGGTTCAAACAACCATATTCCAAATCCATATCAAGGACCCGAGGCGCTCCTCGCGATGCAGGCCCCTGGCCTGGACCTGGGCCCTAGAAGGAGCTTTTAGGACCGCAGGCCCTGCACCTCTTCTAGGCTAATTTTTAAAAGGGGCATCATGCTAAAGAAGAATTTAAGTCACGTCTGCTTTGGGCGCCTGTTCAGTTGGTTTGAAATTTCCTCTTGGGTTGCACTGGAAAACTCAAGAGCAGGAATCTCTTGATAAGTACCCTTAGGAAGCTGGTTTCCCCTGACAGACTTTCTTACATTCTTCCACTGCAGAGAACTGATACGCCAAGGTTTGGAGGAGCTCCAGAAAGTCCTGCCAGGAGGAGATACTTACATGCATGAAGGATTTGAAAGGGTAAATACGAACGTACCGCCGAAGCACGAGGCCGTGGGTGGGCGGGAGCAGATCGCGCCTCAGCAGCTCCTAGTAGGGGCTTCAGAATACCTCTGTCTCCAAACACAGTCAGACGGTCAGCCAGTTCTGAACACCTCGCTTTGATTCTCTTTCAGGCAAGTGAGCAAATTCACCGGGAAAATGTTCAAGGTAAGAATACATGAATGGAGCAGCAAACCAGAGTTAGTTCTGTTTTTGTTTGTCAAGCGCTTTCCCTGCCCCATATCATGGACAGTCTCTGGGGTAGCCCCTTTTTACCTGGGCATGCAAGAAAGATTTGGTGGCACTCCTCCATACCTAGAGAGCAGTCCACTGGCCTTTGTCTTGGCTTTGATAGCACGCCTTTGGTATAAAAGGAAAGAATGAATTAAAGTCAATTAACGTTGGGGTAATTCAAGGGGCCATTAACAGCATATTTCTCACAAATACCTACCCTGCCCAACCTGGGATCAAAAAGAAATAATGGAACAGCCTGAACGATGGCTGTGAACCACCCAGAGTTTCAGACATTGAGCAATACAGGCGTTACAGCGATTATCTGGAAGTGATCACGGTTCGCTGAAGTTGCCAGGTGCCTTTGCTGAGCGGGTCTTTCTCAGACGAATCAGTGCCCGAGTCCGTTGGCTCAGGCCCGTTATGGCCCTTGCCGGGTGTGGAGAAGTTGGCACGAGGAGGGCGCCCTCCACTGGAAGCCCCCGGGGGGCGGAGGGGGCCAGAGGAGCTGTGCGGCCGTGGGCCAGGCTGCGCTAAAGCAGGCCAGCAGGTCCCTGGTCCCGACCGAGGCCGTCGGCACAAGCCTCCTTGCCCAGCGTGGCTGGCACGGGCGGGTGAGCCTCCCTGTCTCTGCACCCTTCCGCTTCCGTGGTGCACAGCATAAGAGGATGCTACGAGCCCTGCTGGATTAGGCCCAGAGCCCCTCCCGTCCCGCATCCTGTTCAAGCAGTGGCCCGCCAGCCAGCCGCCCGGGGCACAGATGCCACCGCGCGCCCCTGCCCACCTTCCCCAGCCGCGGGGGCACGAAGCCGCACTCTGGATGCAGAGCTGAACGTGCTTCTGGAAGCAGCTTTCTCCAGCGCCCCAAAAAGCTACTGAACCCCAGACCAGAAAATTTCCCAGCTGAATATATTATTTTCTGCCCTTTTCAAAAGTGCAAGCAATTAAATGCACAGCTTGCACTTGGAATCTGGGCAGTTTTCATCTGGGCTTGGAATCCCACTTACAATTTAAGATATTTTAAAGAGGCTGGTCATTGTGGGGGTTTTCTTTCCTTTCCCCCCTTTTTGGTCCCCCTTCAGACAGAAGTCGTGAGAGTGAGAAACGCACACGGTCCCGTTCAGTGTGTGGGACGCAGCTCTGCACTCTTCCGGATCGACTGCGAAGGGCTGGCGGCAGCAGTCCTGGTTCATGCCGGAGGGTTTGGCTCATGGCAGCATGTGATTTCCAGCCGCCAACTGGGGCAAGCCTGGGCCTTGCTAGGATGAAGATAACCATTTCTCCATAGGGACGTGTTCTGGCAGTAAATCTGCCCTCCCGGCAGATGGGACTTTGCAGTCTGCTTGATGATATACCTGCCTCTCCGGCTCTCCGAGCAATTCCCTGGGAGGTGCGAGACGCGTGATCAGGCAAAAGCCACAAAGGACAGCAAGTGCACACCTGGCGACACACTTCTGTCGTGCAAATCGCCTTCCTTGATCAGAGGCGCCCTGGCTCATTGATTCGCTTTGCATTTAGAAAGCAAGAAAATGCACCAGGAGTGTGAACATTCAAGCTTCGGGATTAAATCCAGCTTGAGAGAGTGTGACTGGGAGGTTTCCTAGAAGGTCCTGCACTTTTCCTCAGTCCAAACCTCTTTCCCAGTTGTTTGGTAGTTTCCTGGCATAGAAATTTAGAAACAGAGCGAGTCAGAAGGGGCCTCACGGGCCATCCAGTCTGACTCCCGGCTCCACTCATGACGTGCCCACCATATGCATGTCCAGCCTATCTTTGAACACCCGCACCGATGGGGCCTCAACCACCTCCTGTGGAAGCCCATTCCACACCCTCGGGGTCCTAACTGTCAGGAAATGCGTCCTGGCATCTAAATGGAACCTTGGCTCCCTGAGCTTTGCTCCATTGGAGCGCGTTCTGCCTTCCTCCGCAGGGGAGAACAGGTCTCTTCCCACCTCCATGTGACATCCCTTCACATACCTGTCTGTCGCCAACAGAACCCTCTGAGTCTCCTCTTCTCCAGGCTGAAGAGACCCGGTTCCCTCAGTCTCACTATATACGGCGTCCCCTGCAAACCGGCCACCAACCTTGTGGCCCTACGCTGCACTGACTCCAACCTGGCTATATCCCTCCTGTAATGAGGGGCCTAAAACTGAGCACAATACTCCAGTTGCGGGCGCACCAGAGTCGTATGGAGTGATAGTAATACCTCTCCCGATCTAGAAGCCACACTTCTGGCTATGCAACCAAGGGTGGCGTTCGCCCTCTTGACCACCGCATCACACGGCTGGCTCATGTTTAGCCTGCAGTCAACCGGCACCCCGAGGTCCCTTTCACAAGTGCTGCTCTCCAGCCACATGTCCCCTAACCTGTAGTTATGACACCCATTCCGATGCCCCAAGGGCAAGACCTTGCACTTCTCCACATTGAACACCATCCTGTTGTCTCCTGCCCACTTCCATAGTCTGTCCAGGTCCTTTTGGATCTGGAGTACCTGCTCCTCAGTTGTGGCCACTGCCCCGGTTTTAGTATCGTCTGCGAAATTGATCAGCAGATGTTCACCCCTTCTTCCATGTCACTGATGAAAAGATTAAACGGGATCGGCCCCAGGACAGAGCCCTGGGGGACCCCGCTTCTCACTGGCCACCATCCTGATGATTCCCCGCTAATGGTTACCTTCTGCTTTCGGTCAGTCAACCATGCCCTAATCCACTGGACAGTGCTTTGGTAATCACAAAACTCCTCAGTTTCTCCACCAGGATGTCATGGGGCACTTTGTCAAAGGCCTTGCTGCAATCCAGGTAAACCACATCCACTGCAGCCCCTCCATCCAGCCACCTCGAAACCTTGTCATAGAATTCCACAAGGTTTGTCTGGCAGGACCTGTTTTTGCTGAAACTGTGTTGTGTGACCACCAGCTCCCCTTCCCTGTCTAGCATCACCAGATCTCTCTCTATTATGAGCCTTTCCATTGTTTGTCCTACAATGGACATAAGGCTAACAGGTCTATAATTCCCATGTCCCTTCTACTACCCTTTTTGAAGACTGGGACCACTGATGCCACCCTCCAGTCCTCTGGGACTTCATCCGTTCTCCACGAGGTCTCAAAAATGGAGGCCAGCAGGCGTTGGCAGCCTCCAACTCTCCAAGTGCCAACTCTCTAAGTACTCTCAGGTGTAACCCGTCAGGGTCTGGCACCTTTGTAATATCCAATGCCCTGAAGAGCCCCTCGACTTCAAGGGGGGTGACTCTAATCTGTGCCCCTAAGTCCCCGGCCTCATCTAATCTCCTATGCGGATATCCCCCGTCCTGCTTTGGGGAGAACACAGAGGCAAAATAGTCATTCAGCATCTGTGCCTGTTCCCTCATATCAGTCACTGGATCTCCTTCCTGCTTATTTAGTGGTCCCACGACTTGTCTCCCCTTCCTCTTCCTATTTACATGCTGAAAGAAGCCCTTTTTTGTTGCTCTTGATATTCTTGGCAAGTCTCAGCTTGTAATCAGCCTTAGCCTTGCGAAGAATCCTTCTGCAATGGGCCTCCTCCTCCCGGTATGCCCTTTTGTCTATTTCCCCCAGTACCCATTTCCTCCAGAGGTTCCTCTTTGGTCTAATCCCTCTAACCACCTCCTTTCGCATCCATGGCGGTGCTCTCCTCCGCCTCCCCACCTTACTGACTAGAGGTACCATCAAGGCTTGCGCCTCCAAAACCTCCCTTTTGAGTGCTATCCACCCCTCCTCAACTCGCTTGTCTTCCCGTAACCTATCCCAGGAGACTTTCCCCAGTCTGGCCTTCAATTGGCCAAAGTTGGCCCTCTTGAAGTCCCAGCTTCTAGTGCTCAACCTGCTGCCCGTCCGCAGTCCCCTGATCTCAAAGCAAAGGATGGAGTGATCGCTTGCATCCAGAGCTCCCCTAATCTGTGCTTCATATATCAGCTCCTCCCTGTTAATCAAGACCACCCCATCCCACCCCCTGGTCGCCTCTCGGACTCTCTGTGTGAAAAACCCTCCCTCTATAGCTTCTAGGAAGCGACATGACCTGGCTGTCACCACCGAGTGAGTCTCCGGACTAATATCCGGGATATTGAAATCTCCCATAATTACTGTGTCTCTCCCTCAAGATATCTTAGAATCTGACCTGTCAGGACATCATCCAGGGTCTCATGTTGACCTGGAGGGCGATAACATACCCCCACTGTCAGGTCTCTTTCCCTGTCAAGACCCCTAAGTTTCACCCAGACTGCCTCTGCCGAATCCCCATCTGTGCTGCATCCTATCTCACTGCATCCTATCCCTTCCCTGACATATAAAGCCACGCCCCCACCTCTCTTTCCCTTCCTGTCCTTTCTAAACAGGTGATACCCCTCTATGTTCCCATGCCAGACTTGCCTTTCATCCCACCCAAGTTTCTGTGATCCCCACCAGGTCATACCCTCCTATTCCCAGGAGAGCTTCCAGCTCTTCCTGCTCGTTACCCATGCTCCTAGCATTGGTGGACATGCACCTCAACTCCAAAAAGGGCACGTGCACAGTTCCTTCCCACATCCATTCTAAACAGTTGCGATCTCTCTCCTAAGATGTATTAATTTAGTGGCCGTAAGAACTTGACCTGGCATTTTTGATCCTTTTGGTCACACCCCTTCGGCCCAGCCCACCGCTGGGGAGGGGGGAGGCCCTGAGGCTTCGCCACAGTGGAGCTTGGCTGTTGGGCTGCAAGGGAATTCTCTACCCTTCACAGCTGGATAGTGCTGCCTTGTGTCCCTGAACATGGACACTTGTTGGACATAGGAAAAATGGTTCTGGACCAGAAGCAGCGCTGCCCATTCTCTGAAGGCTTGCCAGCAGTACGCTGGGCCTGGTGGTCCCCCAGAACTGAGCTGGTGACCTGTGACATCATGGGCTTCTGCTGGCACGCCGGTGTCACTGGGGCAGGGGGCGGCAAGCCTGGTCCTCAGAGGGGCTGAGCTAGTCCCCCAGAACAGGCTGCAGGAGTAGTGGAGCAGTAGAGCCGGTGCAGCCAGCGTCCGTTTGGGTAAGGGGAACGGTGCAGTGGCCAAGCATGCTTCTGCCAGGGGCGTGGGGACCAGCATTGCCTGAAGATGGTGGGCCGCCAACGGGGGGCCTTTGGGGAGCTTTGCAGCAGGCCCCAAGTTCCCCAGGTCCTGAAAGGTCCGAGTTCAGGGTCCACCCTCTTCAGGCAGACCTGTTCCAGACCTGCATCTGGAACCCTGGAAAGCCTTTGCTCATCCGTGTAGGCAGTCCAGAACTTGATGGTTCTGCTCAGATATACCTGGCTTGATCTCAGGGAGCTTCATCTCTCAAATGGGGAGGGGGGGGACAGAACCACAGTTGCCCGTTTGGGTGGCAGCTCGCAATTATTCCCATGCTGGTCTACTCCTCGGGCAGAAGGACTTGTGGCAGCAACCGGGCGATTTTACATGCTCTTAATGTAGCACGATTACTCTCTTTTGTTAAGCTGGGACTTGACATGCAAACCATGGATAAGGCAAACCAGAGTTTGGGGGAACATGTGGTGTACACCTTATATTTGCCAGAGAGCTGGAGCTGGCTGTGGCCCCACTGTTGTGTGTTTCACACATGAGAAACTTGTGTTTGTTGCTGCCTAACATGTGAAGAAGGCTCTGAAGACAGCGGAGTCGGTTGTGCAACCTCGTGGCCTCCGTAGCACGCAAATGCTCCCTGTCACGCTTCGGCAGATGGAACGCACCCAGGCCCACTTGAATGGTACCCACACGATGCAACTCCCTGTCTCTGCCTCCTCCACAGGTGGCCTTCAGGCTCGGAGAAGCTGGGCTTGTCATGAAGGCCCTGAGTCAGTCCATCCACCCATGTGATGTCGTACTCCGTTTCCTTCCCCCTCCACAACTCACCGTATTACTGGAATGGCGTCCTTTTTTTCAGGTTACAGGACTGCGAGTGTCATCATTGCGCTGACGGATGGGGAACTTCACGAGGACCTTTTCTTCTATGCGGAACGAGAGGTAAGAGGCGTGCAGGTTTATTCCTTGAAGTTGCCTCACATGTTTCGGCCGGGTATAATACTTCAGGCCTTCTTCTTGGGTCAGTATTTGTAAATGCCAGCAGAGAACACGGAAAAGGATCGGTCTCCAAGATAATTCCCACCACCTGGTTTCATTGGGTTCTTTTGGAAGCTCTCCAGTTCTGGCCGACCCTTATTTCAGCGCAGCCAAGTGCCCGGCTTTGGGTGCCCGGCCTAACTCTGGAAAATCTGGACGCTGCTCTTCTGGGCGAAAGCCGTTCCTGCACTCCTGAGAGGTGGCACCTGGGCAGATGTGCTTCCTGGCATCCCTCTCAAGAAGCCGAGCTCTGCTCGACAAGTGGCTTCTGTTGGCTCTATGGCTTGGAAGGGCTGGTTGGCGTTCATGGATTCATACAGAACTGGCTTTAGGTGGGAGGCCCTGGCCTCGGCCGCTTCCCTGAAGGAGAGGAAGGGGGAGGGCAGGCAAAGGAGAAGCAGCTGGGCGCCCCTCCCTTCACGGCCGCTTTGCCCACCCAGCCTCCCCCCGGTGGGTCTGAGAACCGAGAAGCAGCTCTGGCGTGTGATTCTGGCTGGACTCGGGGCCCAAGGCAGGCTTGGCCAGCTGCTGCCTTTTGCTGGGAGGAGAGGCAGTGTTTGCGTCAGCAGCCCAGCCTGGCCAGCGCTTCTCTGCCAGGCCCGATCCTGGGCTGTGCCTGAAGCCCACACCATGGTCACACCTCACCTGGGACTTGCCCTTTCCAAGGTCCTGTGACCAACGATCTGTCGATGGCAGCGTGCCAGCGCCCGCAGACTGCCTTTGAAGATCAGCCTGGCTTTCCAGAGCCTGGCCTTAAGCCCAAACTCCCTCAAGACCTCCGTTCTCATTAAAAACTCAAGATAAGGACTGTCTGTATCGCTCTCTTTTCGGTTCAGAGTGTTTCAAGGGATAATCTACATCCCTTAACCTTGCAGGTAAAGCCGACATTGCATTCCTCTCTGGGTTTTCCAGAGAAGCAGAAGGAGTCCTTTCTTCCATTCATGTTGTTTCTCCTCAGGAGGTAAAGAGAACTGTGAGGCTGACGGCACAGCTGTGCTCCCATTAATACCCTATTTTGTCTCTCTGGGTCTGTCTCGCTGGGGATCAGAAGCGGCTGGACAGAAGGGCTTTGCGTTCTCCCTCATGTCTCAGGCGAAGGAGGGAGCCTTGTCCGGACAGACTGGAAGTCGCAAGCTGACGGCACAGGGGTCGTCTTACGGGGAGGTGCAATGGCATCCCGGGCTGTGTCTTGTGCTCCCGAATCCCCCACTCCCCTTTTGGGGAAGGACCAAGACAGTTGGGACAGTGACGGGAACGCCTGGCAGGGCCGTGGAGCTGTTATCGGGAGCTCCACCCTGCAGCTCCTGGGAGGAATAGAAACCAGTGGAGCGAGTTCCTTTGAGCTGAAGTAACAGACGTCCGAGGCTGTTGTGTTCTGCGTCCCTCTGCTACTGAGGGGTGTGAAATGTAGGGCACAAAGTACCGTTTTAGTGGAAAACGGGGGCATTTAAAAGCACTAAGTACGTAAATAAAGTTGAGGGCTGGAAAGAAACGGGGCCATCTTGGAACAGAACAGGCTTGCTGTCTGCAAAAGTCGGCCCTGTTTTTGGCAACCTGGTGCCCTCCATATATGTCAGTCTTATGCTCCCCCAGTCAGCTGGGAGCTGTAGTCCCTGGAGGGGCCCCAGCTTTGGGAAGGCTGATTTATCCGCTCGCAAATGCAGCAAAGATGGCGGTTTCCTTTAAAGCCATGGCTGCCACTTGGGAGATGGTTGCAGCCTTTGCTTGGGGTGACCCCACAGATCTCTCGGGAAGCAGCTGGCGACCGGGAGGGAACGGCTTCTGCGGCACACGGCCAGCAGTCGCTGCAATCCTCACAGTGCCGTCTGGCGCCCTCTCTCCTTGCTCTGGGCATGCGCTGTTCCAAGCAAGTTCCAAGACACTTTGCTGGAGAGGCCGTGAGTGAAGTGCACTGCAGCTTTTGCATGGATGTGTTGCCCTCTCCTGCGCCCACACACACACACACACACACACACAGAGTCTCTTGGGTCATACATGCTGTGAGACAAGAAAACTGTGGCCTCCATTTCCTGCTGAGAGAACAAATGTTGGCCAGCCAATTCTTGCTTTCTAGGGATGGACCTGGCAACTGGATGAGCTCCAAGCACAGACCCCTCCCGCCGTGGCTTTCGCATTTTTCCAGTGGGTGGAGTTGAGAGCTGTTGCATGGGGAGATATTAATTAACGTTGTCGAAGGAGATACCCCTCCTTTTTACACCCCTGCCACTTTTTAAAAGGATGCTAAAGCTTAATGCCGAAGGAGTTCACCTCTCAGGATCTTACTCGTAAAAGGAGGTTTAGCTGCCACGGTGTCCCGCAGGCAGTGGGCCAGCAAAGGCGAGCCTGGATTTCTGCAGCTGCACCCTAGATCAGGGTGACCTGTCGGACACTAAGCCTTGTGTACAGTTTATTGACTCTTACTGGGAATGCAAGACTTAATAAAGCTGATTATATTTCAGCCTGAGAGTGAGTGGGATATGGTATCAGGCAGCTGATAAAATTGTGCTCTCCAGTGTGTGAGAAGTTGGATTGGGGTGACCAGACGTTGGCATGAATCGTTACTCGTGATGGAAGCGCAAGGATGTGATGAGGTTTTCTCTCTCCAGTGAAAGCAGGATTTAGGGCCTGGAGGAAGCACACAGAAAAACTCAGTCCAAGAAAAAAATAACTAAAATGCAAGGAGCAATGAGAGTAATAAAACAAAGCAAGGGTGGACAACTGAGCTGGCATTTGCAACGAGGGTTTTGGCTCCTCTTTTGCGGAGGTGCGTGTTACCTTATTTTCCCCGAGGTCTTTTGTTTTGACTTTGGTGTTGAAATTTGGTGGTGTGATGCTTCACTTATTAAACCATTTAGGACTGAAAAGGGGCATGGATAAAACGCATAGTGTACAATACTCTAGGCATGCATCGTCTGGCCTTAAGAACCTGACCGTACAGCCCGTGGCGCTCTCGGCACCTGCTGAACCGCAGCCGCTTCTCGCGATGGCAGCCTGCGTGGCCGTGCCGCTTTGTCCTCCACTTGCAGCCCTACTGAAGTTTCTCCCACTGCTCCGTGCGAGAAACAAACCTGCCAAGAAGGAAGAGGTGGAATAGCTGCACGATGCCTTTGCGTTAGTAGGAACCCTCTGTTTGGAAACTCCCGACTCAGACATGCAAAGGAGCAATGTCCACAGGAGGAATGCAGCCCTACTGTAACCTTCCCTGACCGGATGCTCTGACTGTACCTGCCGGCATTCCTGACCATTGGCCAAGCTGGTGGTAGCCAAGGGGAGCCGACCCTCCGACAGCAAGCGGGGCAACGTGTTGGCTGCCTCAGCAGGTTGCGCTTATTCATTTATTCATTCCAGATAGTTTTATCCATCCCATTCCAATCGTCTCTGGACGGCTTACAATGTGATAAATGCACAGTCAATACAACAATCAATAGCAAGATAAAATGCAAGTGAGGATGTTAATAAAACCCGATTTTAAAATATTGAGTAAATAAAAAAGGTTTTAACCTGGTGCCGAAAAGCATATAAAGTTGGCACCAGGCGGACCTCTCTGGGGAACACGTTCCACAGCCAGGGTGCCACCACAGAGAAGGCCCTCCGTCAGGGAGGGTTCCTGGAGCAGGCCTCGCCTGCTGATCTTAAGGGCGTATAAGGAAGAAGGCATCCTGGTCCCAAGCCGTTTGGGCTTTATGGGTCCTCACCAGCCCCTTAAATTGGGCCCGGACTTCAATGGGGAGCCAGTGTAACTTTACTTAAAGTTCTTGCATCCTGCCCTTCACAATGTCTCGGCAGCAACACACTGAAACAAAACAATATAAACATCTCATTCCTGTACATCACCAGTGTTCTCCTTAGTGGTGAACTGTGTTAGGAGGATCCAGTGGATGAATTACTTGCCAGGCGAAGAAGGCTGAGAGCAGGAAGAAATGGTTCTAGAATAGCCACAAAGTCAGCTCTCAAAATTAACCTACACTGGATCATGTTTTTAATCTATTTGGAACGTGATTGGGTCTTTCTTCTCTGTTTCAAGGCCAACCGATCACGAGATCTGGGAGCGACTGTGTACTGTGTTGGTGTGAAAGATTTCAACGAAACGCAGGTAACGGAGACTTCCTCCCTTTGGCTGCATTTTTAGCAAACATCTTTTCATGCTCTTCAATATACTAGCAAGGCAGCCCTGACCAGCAAGCTTCCTTCTCCACTTAAAGTTGCTTTGAGAAAGCCTTTTGCCACCCCAATTTCAAAGGAAGCCCATGCAGGTGAGGAGGAGAAGGGCCAGCCCAGAACAGGCAGGCGTTGCTGGTGCATCCCTCTGCTGTGGGACCAGGCTATTGGCTCGATGCAATAAACAAAGGGCTGAGGTTCTCGGCAGGCGTATTGAGCAAGGCAGATGTCCAAGATCTCCTTGGTGCATGTGAAGCACCGAAAGCACAGGCCCCTCCCTCCTGCTCGGAGCCTGGGCAGCCAGGATCCCTCGGAGCCCCGCAGCAGCCCGGGCGGGGGAGGCGGGGCTCTGCATTCGTCCGGCCCTTGCAGCGGCGTGGAAAGAGCCCCCCCAGCTGAGGCTCCGGGGTTGCAGGAGCGACCTTGGAGACGGCCTTGTGGGGAGGGGAGGGGAGGCTCCGCCAGCCTGAATGCAGCAGCCCGAGGGTGCGTGGACGCAGCCTGGTCCCCGACCCCATCCCCTGAGGATGCCTGCCGTTCCGGAAGGCACGGGCCGCGGCAGCCCCGTTGGGCAGCCGTGATCCTGTGGCGGAGGAGCTGTGCAGTGGCAGCAGCGGCTCTGCGAGTGGCTCTCTCTGCCGTGACTGTCGGGGGCACCTAAGGACGCCTAGGACCGCACTGGTGCACAGCAGTCCTGTGCGACCTTACCTGTGGGGCACGTGAGCCCCACTGAATTCCACAGGGCGTCTGTTCTGAGTGGGCACCCTTAAGCTGGTGCCATTAGGGCAGGCCGCTTGCCGTTGCTCTTCCTTCCGCGGCAACACGTTAGCCGAAGTCCTCTGCTTTGTGCCACAGGTCGCTCCTGTTGAACGGTACTTGGCAGGCTGCCCCAGAGGCGATATTTCCATGTGTGGGAAACGACCGGGTGGCGAAGGGTCAGATGTGTCATTTCTTCCAGGACTGCCCAGAGCTGGGAGGCAGGATTTCAGTGTGGGAATGGGCCACTGCCAGAAACGGGAGGCAAAAGGAAGGAGGCTTGCGTGCAAACAACCCCGAGCACAAAAACTTCTCCAGTGTGGGGATCCTTGACCGCCTTCCAGTCTTGCAACAGGGAATTGCCGTGAGAGAGGACCTGTGTCCCGGGTAGGGCGTGTGCCCATGCCTTTGCTTCCCGACTCTTGTCCCCAGTAAAATAAACCTTCTGTATTTTTGTCGGGTTTGAAAGCCCTGTGAAAGCTGATGGTGGAGCAAAACCGTTCAGCACGTGGGCCACTGGTAGCAAAAGGCCTTAAGCTCTCTGGAAATGCTTATCTTTGTTATTTGACTGAAGCTGGATGCCAAGCTCTCTCAAGTCCTCAGTCCTGACTCACCTGTCTAACTGTCTTGCCGCTCTGCCAGCTGGCTCGAATCGCGGACAGCAAGGACCACGTGTTCCCTGTGAATGATGGCTTTGAAGCTCTCCAGGGGATCATCGACTCCGTAAGTCTTGCTCGCTGTTGTGTCCGTTTCATGGGTTTGGAAATCAGCATCGTTGACGCCAAAACTGTAGTGGTTGTTTCGCATTGACCTGTATTGTCTTACTGGTTACAAATGTTTCGGACTTCAGTCCCCATTAGCCCCAGCCAACATGGTTGTAGTCCAGAACACCCGGAAGGCACCAGGCCGGGGAAGGTTGGAGCAGAGAGCTGCCAACATCTGTCCCAAAGCAGCTCTCTGGGACTTGTGCACCTGTCGGTAGGGCAACCATGCTCTGTATGTTTTGAAAATGACCCACGTTATGCATCAAACACTGAGCAATTGTAGAATTGACATTGCCAAAGGCAACTCATTTTGTTAACAGAACGGCAATTCTTGGGGTTACAACTGAAGAACTAACACCTACATTGCTCTGCCACATCTAATGTACTTCCAACGTGAGAATGACGTCTAGATTTTTGAATTATGAAATCTGAACCTCAGTGTTTGAATTTGGATGATTTGCTATTCTTGTGTGGAAGCCTGCGTTTTGGATGCTGGTGACCTGCGCTTGACTGTCGGGTTACACGCTCCTCTTGCTGTCTCTCATTTCTCTAACTGCTCTGTTCTTTTCTCTCTGCTCGCTTTTTTCTTGGCAGTCTCTGTTTGCCTCTGGAAACCTTTTCTGCGCTCTTCTTCCAAGCACTGCACTTTCTCCCAGGGTGTCACTCACTTAGAAGAACCTGCTTGTCGTCACTCCCCCGGTACATGCCCTGAAGCCTCTTTATGCCCATCTATGGGGCCTTTTTAGGGGCCACGGTCCCCTCTGCATCTCCTGCAGACAAGTGGAAGAGCTGGTGGATAGTGATGGGTGAGCCTTCCACATTTTCACTCAGACTTTGCCCGATATCTTCCTGCAGCCTACATACAAACAACCCAAGCACCGAAGATTCTGGTTTATTTTTCTGAACCAAAACGAGGGGCTCAGAAAAATGGCCCCCATCGCCCCGCCAGCCTCACCCGCCTATTTGCTTACATTCCAAGTGGGTGGGTCCTGGGACCTCCAACAGTCATGTGGTGGAGTCTAAAAAGGTGGTTTTTCCTGCCCATCCCATACTTTTTCCCAGTACTCTATCTAGCCGTTCATATGGGTTGTCTCCAGGGTCTTCAAGGGCTGCCCTTGAAGACAGTCCAGATACTTCAGTTGGTTCAGAATAGAGCTGCCAGGTTGTTAACAGGGACCGGCAGGTATGAACTCATAATGCTGGGCCTTGTCCACCTACACTGGCTACCGCTTGAAGCCTGGGCCCAATTAAAGGTCCTGCTGGTGACCTATAAAGCCCTAAATGGCTTAGGGCCTGTTTACCTGAAGGAGCATCGCCTTCCCTTTGCTCCTGCCCACCCCTTAAGAACTGGGGCAGAGGCCCTTCTCCAGGAGCCCTCCTTGAAGGAGATTAGGAGGGTGGCTACCCGGAGAAGGGCCTTCTTTGCGATGGCACCCCAACTGCGGAATTTGCTCCCTTGAGAGGTTTGCCTGGCACCGTCACTTTATTCTTTTTGGTGCCAGGTGAAAACCTTTTATTTTCCCAATATTTTAAGGTTTGACTGTCACTTTAATATGGGTTTTACTGTTGACTGGTAAAGAATTTGATTAGGATGCTGTGTTTTATTTTATTTTTATTTTTGTCCTACTGTTAAACCATCCCAAGACTATGGTAAGGGATGGTCTAAAAAAAGTTTAAAATAAATAAATAAAGATTGTGAAGAAGAGTTTTCCTTTCAAAATTCCCAGCTGTAGTCCTTAAGGTCAACTGTTATAGACCAGGATACCTCGCAGCTGGGCAGGTCATGCAGCGCCCTCCCCAGGTCCTCCCCCCGTCTGTGGTGCCTCCCAAGAGCAAGACCTTCCCTGTCCGTGTGGCTGGGCTGAGCGGGGCGGTGTTTTTCCACTTGAAACTCAGCTCCAGCCCATACTGGCCTTGCATGACCACAGCAGTGTCTGGAACGGGCTGATTTTGCCTAGATTATTGGTGCCAGCGTGGATACTGCTCCAGGCTCGGGCCCTGTGGCCGCCTGGACATTGCCTGACTTCTGTTGCCATCCTCCTGGAGCACCACTTCCAACCGCCGAGGACGAAGGGAGTCGAAGTCCAGGAATGGCTAGGCGATTCCCCCTGCTTGGGGTTCCTCTCCTTTCCCCGTGCCCCGAGCCCTGGTGCTCGCTTCCCTTGTTGGCTGATGCTGGTGGCAGCAGGAAGAGGAGCTGGCCAACAGGACCGCATTCTGGCCCCCCACTCGGCATGACTGGTTGAGCTGGAAGAGAAGGGCCTGCAGGCAGCACTCTCCGCACCTCAGGGCACTGAGCATTCTTGACACTTGGTGTGAGCCGACTGCTGGGGAGCATGAACTCAAGTCCGTGGTTACGGGTTTCCTTCTGGTTAGGAGCAGAATGATCCTAGATGGACCCCAGCCTGATCCATCACACTCTCCTAAGGATCTTATGAACAACACACAGAAAGCAGCCAGGCACAAACCCCTGTGTCGCTGCTGTTTCCTTAGCTCCAGGATCTCCTTGCCGTTCTTCCACCCCTTTCTTACCACAGAACAACCATTAAGCAGGGGAAGGCAGTAATGATACGATCTCTTGGGGGTGGGGGTGGGGGGGGGGGCTTGCTAGGAGCTGTCTGTCTGGAAGGCACCCCAGGTCTTGAGGCATGCCGTCACATCATCTGTCTGTGCCTTTCAGATCTTAAAGAAGTCGTGCATCGAAATCCTGGCTGCGGAACCTTCTAGTATCTGTGCAGGAGGTGAGCTGAAACTGGATTCTTGGCTTCATAGAACTGTGTTTCTTTCCTGATCCCTGGAGGAAGGCGGATGCTGGAGTCGGCCATCTTTTGCCTCTCCTTGGGAAAGTTTCCAGATGGAACTTGGCATAGAAACGCTCAAAAAATTCCATTTGCTTTATGTCTGCTTGTATGAAGTGCTCTTGATTTGATCTATATTAGGAAAGTTCCTTGGTCTTTTCATTTAAGCCAGAAAGGCAGTGTGCTTTTCAGCGTCGTCTGTAAGATTTAAGAATGCCCATTTGGTGATCGTTTCCCTCATGCACACGCCTCCCCTTCTTCTCGCCGCCCCAGTCTCTTAGCCCATATTTGCTAACCTTTGGAAATCCCGAAGAAGCAGATTCTTCTGCCCCCCCGCCCCACCAAAAGGGACCCAGAGGGGGCTGCAGCTTGTGTGCCCCCATCCTGTGGGGAGAAGCGAACGACCGAACTGGCAAGTGTTGCCAGACCTGGTGCTCAGGCTAGGTGCGAGGCGGTGTGGCGCAGGCTTGCTGGCTGTTCCCGGCTGAGTAAGTCTGTGGGGTCCTGATCCACATCTGGAGCTCTGGCACAGAAGTGCTAAACTTGCTCCTCACACGGGTTCTTCCCCCAAAATCCTGTCCCCATTGGGAGTGGGAGCTAAAGGAGAGGAGCAAGAGCCGCCACTGACACCCGGACTGGGTGGGGGAAAGGACTAAGCCCTCTTCTCCCGGAGCTCCGTGGTCGCGCCTCATGTGTGCGCACGGCAGCGCCAATGCCCGTCCCGCGTTAGTGGCATGTGGTGCACTGCGCACAACGTGAGCTTTGGCTCTGCGTATCTTTTCTTTGACTCTCATGAATTATACCTCGTTTTCCTGCTTGAAAAATATCACTTTAAAGGCCAGCGTGAAGCCGGAGGGTTGTAGCATCAGCAAATGTTTCTGAAGAAAACCTCTCACTGCGTTAAATGCACACGAAACACTGCTTGCTTTTCTGGTTCGAAATCCCTGGGAAAAAAGCCTGCGTTGAAGGCAGAAACCCCGGGGGCTGCAGCTGCCGGGCAGGCTTGGCATCACTCCCAGCCGGCTGACCAGGGTCTCGGCCTTCTTTTCTTAATCTGTGATGGCCCCCCAGGGAGACGCTGCAGAGTCGGAGAGTCGCTCTGGCTTTGTGGTCTTTGCCAGTTGTTTCCTAGCTGTTCCAAATGTGTATCGGTGCGACTTTGCCTTGCTATACAAGAAGCGCATTTTAATTCCCCAGTTTAGTGTGACCCACCTCCTGATGCCGCGTGTAGGGCAAAGCAACGATTTGCAAAAACAATAACCCACCCATCTGTTTTGGTGCCTAAACCTTCATCAGGCCTATTTCATGTGTTGTGTACATTCGGGCTATGAGTTAATTCATGGAAGCTGCTTTGTTTTGGTATAATAAGCACTGATTTCAGTCAGTTTTATGTTTTCAAAATCTGCCTTTTTTGATGCCTATGGGAGGGCCGTGTGAGATGCCTTTTTGGGGGTGGGAATCCATCAGGTTCTTGGACTCGGCGCCCCAGGTTCTGGTCTGCTCTTTCGTGGCCCTGTGCCTGAGTTCCTGGGGATGCGCCCAGCATTGTTAGGGTGCTCAGCGGAAATGGGCCCGGATAAGCTGGGCAGCTGCAAGCAGCTGCAGTGAGCGCAGCCCCGTGCCGTGCTGGTGGCTTCCCTGCGTTGTCACGACTGGAATTCTGCAGAAGAGGGAGGAGGAGGAGACCTCGAGGCAGCGGTAGAAGGCAGTCCAGGCAGAGTCCACGGAGTTGGTGGGAGGGAAGAAGTCTGGGGAGGCAGGCTTCGTGCGCATGCACACCAGTGGCAGTGCACATGGTGCCGAGGCACCTTAGCAGTGGGCCTTAGGGATGCTGCAGATTAGCACAAGCGGAGGGAAAGGCTAGGCAAAGCCAATTTGATTTTGTCAAGGAAGGCGAGGAAGGCCTGACAGTCTGTGGAACAAACAGAACGGATTTAACCAAATCCATTCTGCCCCAGAGGTACAGAAGAACAATAGATGCTCTGATTATTAATTACATTTCTATACCACCCATAGCCAAAGCTTTCTGGGCAATTCACAGGATTGAGTCACCCATCCAGATTTCAACCAGGCCAGATCTTGCTTAGCTTCCAAGAGTCGGCACGATCAGCCACTTTGGGCTATAAAGAAGCTCTGCTTTCGGCTTATGGCTGACGTACCAGCACTTTTGACGCCTCCTTGGAAATGACCCCAAAACCAACGAGGATTAAGCCATGCCCAAGTCTCAGGCTTTAAAAAGAGAAACGTGAGTGCAGCGTTGGAGCACCTTCCAAAGAGGGCCACACAGCACTGGGTTCCGGAGTGCGATTTGCATATGAGCCAAACACAGAAACAGAGCGAGTCAGAAGGGGCCTCCTGGGCCATCTAGTCTGACCCCCAGCCCCATCCGGCTCCACGACATGCCCACCATGTGCATGTCCAGCCTGTCTTTGAACACCCTCACCAATGGGGCCTCAGCCGCCTCCCATGGAAGCCCGTTCCACACCCTCGGGATCCTAACCGTCAGGAAGGGCTTCCTGGCATCCAAACGGAACCTGGGTTCCCTGAGCTTGGCTCCGTCGGAGCGCGTCCTGCCTTCCTCCGCAGGGGAGAACAGGTCTCTGCCCCCCTCCGTGTGACACCCCCTCACATCCCTGCATGTCGCCAACAGATCCCCTCTGAGTCTCCTCCAGGCTGAAGAGACCCAGTTCCCTCAGTCTCGCCTCATGCGGCTTCCCCTGCAAACCGGCCACCAACCCTGTGGCCCTACGCTGCACTGACTCCAACCTGGCTGTATCCTTCCTGTAACGAGGGGCCCAGAACTGAGCACAAGACTCCAGTTGCGGGCGCACCAGAGTCGTGTAGAGTGGAAGTAATCCCTCCCTCGATCTCGAATACCTCTCTTGAACTAGCCAAGGCTGTGAGTAGAGGGCTGTGCAGGTGTGCAAAGCCAGACCCAGGCCGCTTCTAACCTGGAAGCTGAGCTCTGAGCGCACTGAACTGCACTGTGGACTGGCCTCCAGCCTGGCACGGGGCTGAGGCCCTGGTTCCCGGATGGCCAGGCACGATGGGCTAGATGTCATCTCGACCAGCCCATCCTAGGTGGCTGGCCATCCCTCCCCAGGATGCCCTTATAGCCCCCTCCTGGCACCACCTTCCGGCTGACGGGCAAGATCAGGGACTCTAGTCCAAATGAGGAAGAATCAGGTCCACGGAGGCAGGCAAGAGGAAGCCAAGCTGGCCAGGTTGCAAGTTCGTGTAATGCGGAGCTTGCTCAGGGCTGAAAGCCGACATGGTGTTTATCTAGAAGGAGGCGAGCGGCAACTGCTGCTCTGGATCACCCGACCACCAGGCCAGAAATGCGCTGTGCTGCTGGGCCTGCGGGGCCATCCCTAGTGGCTGGTCCCGGAGAGACTCCCACATTTGTCTGCGAGACCCGCGCGGTCAGGCGGAGCTGGAGCTCCGGATTTTTGCCTGCTCGACAGGAGCAGCACACCTGCCCAATGAATGCTTGCCTCGATGAGCTCAGCAGCCCGAGGAGATGAATTTGCCTGGCTGGAGCGCAGTTGATCCTTCTGGGATGAAAGAAATTGGGGCTTGGAGCAGAGCCCAGATTCCTGAGTCAGCTTGTATTCTTTGCGCAGCTACAGTGCAGCAGCCCCCGGGGCATCGTGAAGAGTCAGCGAGTGGGTGGTGGTCTGTTAAATGCCAGGGAAATTGTTGATTCAGCAGAAGCAGGGGTGACTTTTGCTGCAGAGGAGTTTAAAGTGATAACAGAATGCTCTTCCGATTGTTTATTCTAGTTAGACGCACTGAACAAACCTCTTTTGCAAAGCTGGATCTGTCTAGGAAGTTTTCCTTCAGTGCACTGAGCTCTGGTTTTTCAAGCATTTTTCTTTCAGCATAAAACAGATGTCTAAAATGAAGTTTCTATAGTCTGTGAAGCAGATTGCAGACTGGTTTGTACTGATACAGCTGTGGTAATGTCCACCTAAGGATCGTTCGGTCATTTTGCACCTGGGAGTTTTGGACTGTATGCAAAAAGGTCTGAGATAGTTCCAAGTTTTTGTAAACTGCCTTTGTCGCAGTCATGAAAAGCAGGCACCGGGACCCTTCCATCTGTGGGGCGGACGTACCCCGCAGAGCGTCTCACGGATCTGCCTCCAGGCCTTGCCGCAGCTGCCCAGCCCCCCTTGCCCCTGCGCAGAGCCGTGATCTCTGCTTGGCTGGGCGGTGCAGGAAGGGCCGGGAGTCAGGCGGTCCGGGTTCCAGCCCCCCCATCAGCCATGGAGCTCACTGGGTGACACTGTGCCAGTCCCAGACCCCCAGCCCAACCTGCCTCCCAGGATCAGATGGAGAGCAGGAGGAGAAGGATGTAAGACTCCTTGAATCCCTTGGCAAGAAAAAGGACAGTATATGCATTTACATAGAAATAAACAAAATGTCGAACAAAAAAGCGGAGGGCAAGAAACATGAATCTAGGAGCTATAATATCTGTCTGCAAACTTATTTGTGATAGAAATGCCCTAGAATAGAGAAATATTGAACAAGACTTTACAGGAAAGGAATGGTACTAATTACCTCCTGATCCTTTAATTTTCTTGATAAAGTTATGAGAAAAGATTGTGTCAAAAGGAACCGTATTGCTTGGTGTAGCCCTTGTTGCGCGAAGGAGCAGTTCAGAATGCAAGAGCGAAGCGTGTTGCAAAGCCTCCGTTGGTTTTGCTGACCTCACTTTTATTTCGATGCACAGTAATACGAAGAAAAACCTCTGGGGTACTTGGCTGGCATCTTCTTTCCCATTGCAGATGAGAGGGGAAAGGTGGGGACGGATGATCAGCCCAGGGTGTCCACGGACTGGTTTCTCAGGGAAAGTAACTTTGACACTACTTTGCAGTTCTGCAAACTTAGCTTAATTTCCACCCTGAAGTTATGATAGAAAGCAAATTTTGCATTAATTATTTTTCTTCAAAAAGACATATGTTGAAGGAGATGCTACCTCCGATGGAGGGGAATAGTGAGCAATATTCTGTGCTTTCAGAGTCTTTCCAGGTCGTTGTGACGGGAAATGGCTTTCGACACGCCCGCAACGTCGACCGGGTCCTGTGCAGCTTCAGGATCAATGAGACCCTCACACTCAGTAAGTGGCCCGCTCTTGCTTCTCCCACGCCGGCTGCCCACAACCTGCTGGGGGGAAGTGACTCCTGCTGGGGGGAAGTGACTTGGGCAGCGCATTTTCTTGAAGCGTGCGGTTTTGTCCCCAATCCATGCACAGTTTGGGGACAGAAGTGGCGAGGTTCCAGGTTGAAGTCTGGGGCAAGACAGGTCTCAGGATTAAAAACCAGCTCCGTGGACTAGCGAAGCTGAAGTGAGTTTCTGGAGTTCCTGGAGCTCAGACTTCAGCGAGGACCAAACTACTTGTTACACCGAATGTGGGCATGGTGGCCCCTCTAGAAGCTGAAGGAGAAGCTGCTCCCAGTGGGGAACGCTGAAGGCAGAGGATGGTGTGGTTTCTCCCTCTGGACTCTCCTTCCCCTGTGTCACCCTGTCAGAGCAACTTCTTGTCTCCTGCCTCCTCTTGCCTCAGGGAGTCACCGGCTGGAGGTGCACATCCACGCAGAGGTAAATCTCATTGCCTTCGGGGGTGCTTACCCACGAGAAAGCATCCCGGAAGCTGGCTCCTCCCCAGCAGCGTTGGAAGCAAGCAGCCCTGCAGCCTCCCTCCCCTCGCTCTGCAGTCCCCGCAAGCCAGCCGTGGCTGCTGTGCTCCGTTGCACCTGTGCGCAGTGCATGGCTGCACTCAGATCCTCGAGTGCTTCCCACAGGCTTCCCACATGAAAAGAGGGCTGGACCTGACGCACCTTCAATCCAGCAGGCTTTTTCTGATGCTCTTGATGCAAGACCTGCTCGCAAGAGCTTGTTTCGGGTTGGTGCTTTGATGTGATGACGCATGCATTTCTTAAAATGCATTTGAGGCAACCTCACAGAGTTGTTTTAATGCTGGTTTTTAAGGCTCCCGCTTGTCAAAGACGCCTTGCGCAAGACGAGCATCCCCTGTCTCTGGCACTGGTTAAAATTTGCCCAGATGTCCTTACCGGAGCTCTGCTGATTCTTTTAACTCCAGATTAGCTGATTGGAAATAAAAGCTGCATGTGAGATTGCAAACAGTTCCTGAAATTGCCACTTTTGCTCCTTCCTAAAGTGTTTCTGTTGGTCAGTTGATGTCTGGGAAGAGTGCAGTTCAGCTTTGCGCAGGAGTGCCTGTGTTTATTCTTTGGAAGTGCTTGCATCTCACCTCTCCCACCTTTCAAAGCTGAAAACAGTGTCCTGGAGCTAACAAGCAGGGAAGGTAACAGAAAGGGAACAAGCAAGCCAGCGGGTGCAGGGAAGCCAACCGCGTGTCAGTCATGGCGTGCCAAGGGCCAGCCTCTCCATGCGGTTTATTTTCACTGCAGGTGTTTGTCTGGGCCTTTATGAGAGCCCTGGGCCTGAATGGACTGGCACACGGCTGTGCAAGAATGGGGGATTGCACGCAAGCATCCGTGTTTGCCCTCCCGCCCCTTGAGTTCGGCGGCAGAAGCCCTCCTCCGGGAGAGACATCAGGCGGCAGAGTACCCGGAGGAGGGCCTTCTCTGCGGTGGCGCCCCATCTGTGGAATGCGCTCCCCAGAGAGGCCTGCCTGGCGCCGTCGTTATTTGTTTTTCCACGCCAGGCCAAGACCTTTTTATTTAAACAATATTTTGATAACGTTTATTATTACTATAGGTTTCAATTTGCAGCCGGAATGAATTGGGTTTTTAATTTGTATTATCTGTATTTTTTGTATTATATTTATTTATGTAAGCTGTCCCGAGGCGTTAAGCGATGGGATGGCATACAAAAACTCTAAATAAATAAGTAAGTAAGTACGTGCAGCCCTCCCTGGGTGCCCACAGTGTTCCGTGCCCCTAAAATTAAAGTCAGAAGCTGCCCTCGGGCCGTTTTGAAGTCGGGAGGGCCGGGAACCATCCTGGTGGTGAAATTATCTGCTGTCACCCTTCACAGCCGGACTTGAAGGACAGGGAAGGAAGCTGCCATTTTCTCGCAGGCCCAAGGGGCTCAGTCCTGGGTCAAGTTCGCCCCTCGCCAGGTCGTCGGTGCTATTGCTGCAGCACTCCAGCAGTCCGGAGTTTCTTCCCGATGCTCTTCCGCTGAGGGCCTATCCAAGCCAGGGATGGGCAATTAATTTTCCTATGGGGCCACATGAGAAACTTTGACAGTTGTTAAGGGCCGGACCAATACACTGACAGCTCTGCTCAATATATCTCTCTATAAAAACAGTAACATTACAATGATACAATGAAAATGTGGAGCACAGAACAACACTATTTAATGAATATTGACAAAAACATTAACATTACATGAAAAGCAATAAATTCAATTCAATTTAGCAGATCCTTCAAAATAAAAGCAGTGCAGTTGTACTGCTTGCATCTATATTAGGACGATATATATTTGCATTGACTTTTAATTTGCCAGTGACCCCATGCCCAGGTCTGATCCAAGCCATGGCTGGCCAAAGGCTTTCAGCTGGCACGTTTCCGTAGTTTTCATTATTTTAGAGCTGCTTCCCTCGCAATTTATGTTATCTTCTTGCTTGTTTGATTTTTGCAGTTTTAGATTACGCTGGCTTTACGCTCCCTGTTTTGTTTTATCTTGTAAGATGATTTGAGTGGAGAAGAAAACCATTATTAAACAAGCTGCTAAAATAAACACATAATACATGAAGGGCCAGCCGAAGTTTGCTTTCGTTGTAACTGACAAGCAGCTGTGGGTACCTGAGCGAGACTGCGTTTTGCATTCCTCTCGGCCGTTTCCGACGTGCAAGCTAGAAAAGGGCAACATTTAGGGCTGGCCCAGGAAAGACCGCTCAAGAAATCACAGTCCTTGCCTATAAAAAAGTGTATGAATGTCTGGCAAGAGTAGGAAGGGCGGCCTGCTGAACTTTTTGCCTGATGGACAGTACAGAAATAAGTCCACCGTGAGTACAATTTTTGGTAGCATGCCAGGTAAATGTATCAATACAAAATTATGGATTTTCCTCCAGAAAGGGCTTGACGGATGCTTTGGGAGGATTTTGGATTCAGTTTCTTTTTGGGATGAAATAGGACAGGTTAGTGTCGTGTTGTTCCCACTTGTCAGTAACGCAGGACTCCGCCGTGGGCGTTTTTGACTTCTCGGGGATTTTTAAACTGGAGACCTGTCTCATTCCTGCGTTCTTGACATGGTGTTGCGAGTCGTAAAGCTGCTGCAGATTTAAAAAGCAGAGTTAAGTCAATTAGGAGCGGATGGGAGCCCAATGCGGGCTGCAAAGGACAAGTTGCTTCATTCTTCGCTTCTGATTGAATCCAGACCTCTCGTGCGAAGAGTCGTGTGATCCAGAGGGGAGGGGAAATGGGGAAAAGTGTGCCATGAAGTACCGGTAAGGGAGCTCAGCCCCTTCAGTCGTGCTTTTTACCTTGCTTATGTGCACCTCTCTGAAAGGTCTCCTGAAGGGCAGTTTCTAGGTCTTTGGAAGCCAACTTCCCCGCGCCTGTGCCCTCCGGATGCATTGACTGCAGCACGCACAGCAGGGGTCAGGCTAGGGAAAGCTGCTTTAAATTAAAGCAACAAAACAAAACTTTTTCCATTTAAAATTACAGGCGTGAGAAAGTGAGGTTGTTAAACAGGGATGTGCCAATCCTGAAATTGTTGAACTGTTCCGAATACACCTTTAACCATGGTGCATCCAAGTATAACTTTGTTAAAGGCTTTCCAATGATATTACCAAGAGCTCTCAATTTCCCCCCTTCTGTACAGGCCCCTACCGTTCATTGGGAATTGATGTCGTCATTTCTTCTTTCTTCAGAATATGGCGCTGCCCACAGTGTGTCTGTGGGACCATAGGGACTAGAAACTTGCTCTTTTTCGATAGATGAAGGAGAATGAGAAAGCTGAGATGTTTAGGAAGCTCAGTGCCCATGGCTGGTCCCACCATGTCTGGTTTTCCTGTGCTTGGGCAGAACTGTGGCATGCAAACAGAGTTACTTCCCGGTCCTGGAAGAGCGAGGCAAACCAATGCTTGCGGGACTGGCTTTCTTGCTCACTAGAACCCTGACACCCACCCGCAAGAACGGGGCACCAACCAGAAGTTCAGGGCAACGGAGTCTGTTTCCTACTGAATGCCGTGAGCGGTCCATGACGCACCGGTGCAAATCTTGCGTCCAAGTTGCTACAGGCCAAGTATCCTAGCAGTGTAATTTAAACCAAAATGATGTTAAACATCTGGAGCTTGGAACCCCTTATAATCTATAGCAAATCATCAAGAAATGGACTGGGAGACCTGATCCACCTCCCTTCCACTCTGCCCGAAGCTTCCAGCTCCATAATTCCTCGTATGTATCGATAAAGATACTGAATATTGCTGGACCAAGTGACAGAATTGCTCCCGACAAGGAAACAGCCTGGCTTGACACGGGCCCATTAATTACTCCATTTCCACAGCAGTGGCCTGTCAGAACTGGGCCCTTCACTTTTCTTTCCTGCAGAGTTGCCTCCAAAGCTTTGCTGAAGACAAAGCAGATGCTGTCCGTTTAAAAACTTAAGCACGGCGTACAAATCGGCTGGAGCAAACCTTCCCCCCTGCCTTTTCACTGTTGGTGCAAATTGCTAACCCCGTGACACAGCTGTTTATATTATTGCCTGCGCCCTGCACCCTCGACCATCCAGCAAAATCTGCCAGAAGAGGCTTGGCTCCTTTGGGTGTACATGATGCTGCTATGCAAAGCTTGGATATTATGCATAATTTCAGCAGGGTTTTCATTACAGCATTAGTGCAAACTCATTTCTCATTTGTTGGGCTCTCCAGCAGGCAATTTTTCTGGCTCGGAGAATGCATCAGCGTCTCTGTCTCAGTCTCTCCCCCTGCATTCTTGCTTCCCCACAAAATGAGTTTCAGTTTTTAGAAAGGGGCTCTTTTGTTGAAAGGAAGATTCCATGCTGCTGCTGCAGCTACAGTCGGAAAAATATCTGGGCCAGAGTAAGCAAACATTTCGGGATGGTGAGTTCCAAGGTATCCTTCGTCGGCCACTTGCCTCATTCTGGGGATGGAAGATCTACTGC